TTTTGTCGTAGAAAGTTTTTGTATTTGTATTTAGTATTTTTGGCTGAATTTCGGGTAAGGTTTACAATTCGGTCGCCTGAATTTGGGGGTGAGGGGTGGCGTGGGGGGGAGGGGGAGGAGTTGTAGAGTCACCCCCTACTTCCACTTTCTGCCGGACGTGCTTTGTTTTTTTTTTATTTATTTTTAAAAATCTCATTTTGAGGTTATGTTTCGTAATTTTTATGACAATTTTAACCCGATTTATGGGTAGAGAGAGTTGGAGGATGGAAGCCCCACGCCACTTAACGTGGTGCAGTCGAGGGAAGTCTGGTAGACGGAGCTTTGCGGGGCTCCTACTTCTGAGTGGTTTACAAAACAATAACCACGAAGAGGATGACGGAGTCTATTCACTCGCTTCGCTCGCTCACTCGACCCCGTCATCCTCTTCTAACCTAACCTGTCCGAGTCGGGGTGCTCCACGTCCCAGGCTCGTTTCGCTCGCTATTGCACTCGATATAACACCAAATTATTAACTTTCGTAACTACTTTAATTTATAAACATAATTTATGGCTGCCACCATTTGTAAGAAAAGATCTTTGCGATATTTAGCAGTATTCCGCCGCCACAAATATTTCACTATTCACCAAAATTCTGAAACTCGGAAGCAACACCATGACGAAAAGCTGTCAACAAAATGGCCGGCATAGCGATTTAATTTTACATATTTTTAAATCGATTCAAATCGAAATTAGATGAATCGATTCACAAAAAATCGAAATCTTAAAGATCGATTTCGCAAAAATCGTTTTTTTTTATTTGCGTTAAAAGTTTATATTTACGATATCAAAAGATACAATAAAGTACAGATAACATTGAATAATTAAATTAAAAACTGTCATTCTTTACGAGTTGGGGTACATTCAACCAATTGTAAATAATTTTGCAAATCTTAATAAAACAGAAAAAGATTCGATCTCGATTCTCTAGGGTGAAATATCGATTCACTAGATCGATTCAATACTATATATCGATATGACATTGACAGATGAAATGTCAAAAACGTAATTAAATTAGTCATTTACCAATATTTTTAAAAAATAATTAAAAATACTTCGACGCTGCTCCGGCAGAAAAAATTGAGTGGGGGTGCTTCAGATAAACCCCTTTGACTCCCCCACATTGACAGAATCTTCAAATTCAGGCGACCGAATTGTAAACCCAACCCGAATGGTAACTTATCTAAACCTCAAAATTTACCGCACGGGCGACTGTGGTGTATTAGAAAGTGGAAGGAGTTAAGCGATTTGCTTAACAGCCAAGGAATTGGAGAGTCTCGAAGTGAAGAAAAGTGGCGAAAAGTAAGTTCTAGTTTCATTGTTCCTAAACCTTCTTTACAAATCAAGAGCGCTTACCTACATAGAGTTTTAAAAGCAAGGTTGATTTTGTGTAGTCAAAATTTTAAGTTAATTATCGTTTTATTTGCTTTGCTAAAGGTGTGGAGTGATTTAAAAAAACAACACGAAGAGGAAGTGGGCCAAAATTAATAAAACTGCTCATGGTACTGGTGGTGGGCCTGCCTTAAAAATGTGTCTCACAGATTTGGAGAATAGGGTGCTGTCGATAATGGGTGTCGAAGCAGCAACTGGGATGGCCATAGCTGAAGTTGGTTTTAGCAGTTGGTTTGTTAAATTTTTATCATGAAATCAATATCAAACTAAAAAGGCGCTCATATAAAAAGTTACGAACCCCAATTCTGAATTACCTTGCTGACTTTATTAGAATATATATTCATCATCACTATTCTAGTTTAGCAAACCTTTCATACTTACATAAATAGAACATTATTAGAAATCAAAAACTTTCATTTTACGATTTAATATCATAATAACATGATGAATTCTTTCACTATGAAAATATGACATACAGAAATTAATTTATATAAATGTAAATAACTAGAATAAGGCTAATAACCTATATTATTTTGAAGGTAGAAGAATCTGAAAAAGTAAACAAAACTGTTTTTATACCTGTGGAGCCAGTAAATACAGAGGATATAATAATTGTACCACCTGAAGTTCCTGCTACTGGTAAGTCTTCAACTACTCATATATTTTTGTTATATGGGTTGGTTTGCTTTCTCTTACAGAACATTATTACTTTCATTTTACGATTTAATATCATAATAACATGATGAATTCTTTCACTTGATGCATACGAAAAAATTTTATGACTAATATGAATTATTTGTAATTATTATTTATTTTGATTTTCAAATAACCAGGACCCATGTTGCCACATGTAGCTTTATATAGCATTACATATATTACATTACATATTTTATATGTGGTAGAGCCATGCTGCAGTTATACCTATTAGTAGTATAGTTGTAGCACGAATGGTTCGGCTTGACCGGAGAAAGAGCTTAATGCTGCTGTGTTTTGTATGGTGACCTTTTTACTGAAAACGGGACATTCCATCTTAGTCCTCACGGATGACAACGCATCTGCATTTTGATTTGTCATCGAGGATAGATGTCGATGTCTATGGGCCACAGCATCCACTTACCATCAGGTGGATTGTGTGCTCGTTTGTCACCCTATTCTATAAAAAAAATATGAATTTTTGTAGTATCAGCATGAGTCCTGGTTATTTGTAAATTAAATAAATAATAATCAGTAATAATAACTATTAACATTACTATATTATATTATCAATTAATATGTGATAGAGCTACGCTGCAGTTATATTATGGTTGTAGCACGAATAGGTTGGCTCGACCGGGGAAAGACCACACTCACAGAATACCAGCGTAAAATCTGCTGTGTTTCATATGGGCCACAGAATCAACTTCCAATCTAGTGGACTGTGTGCTCGTTTGTCACCGTTATTATATAAAAAATCTTTTAACTTACAAATATTTATTTTTAACTATATGAAAAGTAAATAATTGTAAAATAAATGAAGATAATTCTGTAAGAAGTTCAAGTTTTCAATTGGTTTTTTCAGATGATGAGGACTGGAATACTCCTGGCTGCAGCAAGGATCCAGTAGTTATACCTCCAAGCAATCACAGATCCCTCACACCACCCTGATCCCCAACATCTCCACAATCTGCCACACCGCCGAAATCTCCCCCCCCAGTTGCCCCCCAGGCAACCCACCCCACAACCTCCACCTCAGCGCCGCCAATCCAAGAAGAAACAACTTAAGTCATTAGAGGAATATTTCTTTTTGTGTGAGGAGAATATAAGAAGTGATAACAGAGAGAGAGAAAAGATGTTTGTAGAGTTAGAACAAGAGAGGATTCGACAGAGATATCGAGCTCCATCAGCGTGATAGTGAGCTACAGTTGCAAGCTCAGTGGCTGGAATTTATGCGGGGAGCATTAGATATTTTACAAAAATATTTGGATGATAGAAAATGAATGAATGAGAGTTTTAATTTAGACTTTTTAATAGAATAATGATGACAAATGAGCACACAGTCCATCTAGTGGAAGTGGATCATGTGACCCGTAAATAACTACATTCATTTTAGATTAAAAATCAAAATGCAGCTGAGATGTCTGAGGACGCTTGTGAGCTAATATGGAATGCCTCGTTTCCAGTAAACTCACCATATGCATTAAGCTTCTTGGCAATATACCGTGAGGACCGTAATATAATATAGTTTTTAGTTTTAGTTTTTTATGGTAATAAATATTGTGATTTTTGTAGTATTAATTGTGATTTTTGTAGTATTAATGTACCTATTTAGTAATGTAATGATATATAAGTTTATTAAAATATCTCATTGAAATTGTTAATGTATTTTTTATTCAAACTTAATATTAATACCGATAAAAATAAATAACACTTAAAATCTAAAATTGTAATAACAAAACAATTCAAAGCATTGTTCAAACTAAATAGATATACAACACAACACGGAATCAAATTCAATAGAAATGGATGTTTTTCTGTTCAATACATATTAAGAGTACCTACTAATTGAAAGTCACTTTTATGTTTAATTTACCACTGGTTCGGAAAATTATAGCGCTGAGGGCCTCGGGTTCAAATCCCGCACGGAACAAGTATGTGTATGGCCTAAAAGTAATTGTCCCGGCTCTGGATGTTTGTCCTTGTGCAATTTATGTTTGTAAAATGCCTCCACGATAATGGAGAAAATCCTAGTGAGGGGTAACGTTTTTTAAAAAGTAAAGAAGTAAAGTAAAAAAATATTAGCAACAAAATCCAAGGTAAATTAAAAAAAATGTTTTACAATGAAGTATTATATTATATAATTAACTACACAAATCATATTAGAAATGGCTTGCTAGCGACTACCTCATTCCCAGGGGTAATTAGCATCCATTATTTCCTTAATATTATAATAACTATTTTTATACAATACATGCTTAATAAATTTTGTGAAGTTGTCAGTGGACGAAATTTGTTAAAAAATTATTGTAAATTACGAAAAAAGTAATAAATAAATCATTATTATTATAGTCAACTTGGGTATCTTTGAATTTCAATGTAACTTTGAATAGAACTTCACTAACAATTAAATATTTTTTACAACTGTACCAGAGTATCCAAATAGAGAAGGTATCGTGTGGAGCTAAACAGTGGAATGTATAGACTATATTTAACAAAAAAACTGTACTTGTCAATGTCAGTTTGTATTTTAGCGCGTCTGCGAAAACAAGGTCTGTCTGCAACAAAGTTAATTAGTGAATTTAAATTACATTTTTTTAAGATATCGTAAGTAATTGAAGAGGGTAAGTTTTGTGTTTAATATTACTGGCACAGTTTTGAATTATCTTTTTGTCAATTAACATATAATTTACTAACCCTTTTACCCATATATTTGATAATCATTTGATACAGAAAAAAATAACAAATTTTTGGGTAACTTTGAACCATTCAATGATACCCTGGTAGTATTTTATTAGATGGGGTAACTTTCAATGTGTTGCTACCAAATGTTAAAAAAACATATGTATGAACATATTTGTTTTTTATTTTAAGGTACAATGCCGCGAAAATCCTTTAAAATTAAGCCTGGTGTTAGAAAATATGGAACTAAAAGCAATTATACTCCAGAAATTTTGGAAGAGGCACTTAATAAAATTCGGTCAGGTGCCATGTCTAGGATGGATGCTTCCAAACATTATAATATACCACCTGTAACATTATATTATAAATTAAATAAGAAACATATCAAAAATATCGGAAGACCTATTACATTTACCGCAGAAGGGGAGGAGAGCTTTCAGAATCATTTGTTACTGTTGAGTGATGTGGGCTTATCATTGCGTATGTTAGACTTCAGGATTATCGTCAGAGATCATCTAAATAAAAACAACAGGATTGTGCCGCAATTCAGAGAAAATATGCCTGGTTATGAATGGGGAACATTATTTTTAGAAAGACACCCTTTACTGAAGGAGAAACTATCTCATAATATACCGAGAAAAAGAGCTCAAGTTAATCGTGAGCAAATTGAACAATTTTTTAATAATTTTTCCAAGGAGAGTGAAGCCGTCGCTCCACAAAATTTGTATAACATGGACGAGTCAGGGTTTCATGACGATCCCGGGAAAAATAAATTGCTATTTCGTAGAGATTGCAAGCACCCTGATGTAATAAAAAACAGCTCTAAATCATGTTTTACCATAGTCTTCTGTGTGAATGCAGCAGGTGAGCTCGTACCACCATTTTTTATTTTTAAAGGGGTAAAACATTGGTCTGATAGGCTATATCAAGCCCCTGAAGGTTCCAGAATGGCAGTCTCAAAATCAGGATGGATGGAGACAATAATTTTTGAAGATTGGTTAGAAAACCAATTCATTCCATTCGTGAAAAAAGATGAGGGTAAAAAAATATTAATGTGTGATAATATAAGCGCGCACATATCTCCTAAAGCACTGAGCTTATGTGCTGAAAATAATATTTCGTTCATTTGTTTAATCCCTAACTCGACACATCTTCTTCAACCCCTTGATGTAGGCTATTTTTCGGCAGTAAAATCGGCATCGAGAAAAGTACTTAATGATTATCGTCAAACCTGCAGAGGCAAGAAAGTGTTGGCTCTTCCGAAGTCATTATTTGCCCAGTTAATTATAAAAACTTTACAAAATGGAAATGCCAATTCATCTGAAAATCTACGAGCAGGATTTAAAAGTTGTGGTTTGTATCCATTGTCTCCAGATACTGTGTTAAACAAACTTCCAGCATATACTCTACTGTGGACATAAGCGACACTATTGGCGAAAGTTTTGTTAATTATATAGAAAATGTGAGGCAATCGAATTTAAATACAGTAACCAAAGGAAAGAAATTTCAATTACCTGTTGTAGCAGGGAAGAGTGTGTCGGTTGAAGAAGTGGAAAATTATTATAAAGAAAGGGAAAAAACAGCCAAAACGAAGACAGGAAATGAAATAGAAACCAGCCAGTCTGTCAAAAACGTGGCAGGCCCATGGGATCAAAAAACAAGAAAAAGAAAAAGCAAAGGGATCCTGCTCCTTCGGGAGAAGTCTTGTCAACAGAAAATGACAGTGAAAACAATGAGGTCGTTGATACTGTTGAGCATGGTGAAGAAGGTGATGGAAATGAACTTAAGTCACAAAACATTGGAGGACACGCAAAGTTTGTCGTTGAGGCTATGATACACAGACCACCTTCTCCAGAAATAGCTGAGATAAATATGCTTGACATAGGTGATAATCTGTGCTTCAAGAACAAGAGGTTGAGTCACCGGTCATAACAATCCGAGGAGATTTTACAACTGGAGAGTCGGAAGAACAAATATTATGGGAAGATAAGGATTTGCCAATTATAGAAGAATATGTTGTGGAACCTAGCAGTGCCTTAACAGCCTCTACGTCACATAAGAGTGGACTAACCCGCAAGGAAGATAACACCGAAAAAAATAATTCTGTTAGAGATTTGGCGAAAGATGCTTATTGTATATTTAGTAATGAGGGGAGCAGGTTCCTAGGACAAATACGAAAAGTAAATTTGTCAACTGCGACTGTCATGGTTTCAGCTTTCCAAAAATCCTTTTTAGGAGGTTGGAAGTAGCCTTCAAAAGCCGAGATATTAAAAGTAAAGGTATCGGATATAGTAAGTATCGTAAAAGAACATCAAATCTCCAAGAAAGGTGGTATAACATACATAGAAGATGAAATTTTATTCATGGAGTGGGGAGAGTAAGATTTTGTAAGTCAAATATTAATGAGAAATATCATCTTAACATACATATTTTTTGATCTCAAATGAAACCCAAAAAGCTCTAGTATTTTAATACAAATTTTATTTTATTAATTTAAGTCAATAAATACAGTTAAAAATGTATAAAACTTTTGTTTCTGTATCTTCCTTTCTGGTACATTTAGTTTGTATATGGCATCCCCAAGTGATATAAAAAAAATTGTAATGCATACGACTGTCCATAGAGTATAATTTTATTTTCTTATTAAAAAAACGCTAGTTAATGTTACCCAAGCTCCAAATAAGTCCAATATTATATGTTTTAGTCTTCAGAAACAAAAGAGTTCAAAGTTACCCAAAATTCAAGATAACTTTGAATGGTATTTCAATCGTCAATTTTAGTAAGAATTAAGCGTATTTTAATTAATCTGAATATTATAATACGTAGTTAACGTAATAAAATCAAACTTCTCTCATATAATTTTTTTACTCTGTTTGTAAAAATCTTCAAAAACTGTTCAAAGTTACCTAAGTTGACTGTATTGTTAATATAAAATTCAATTTGGGCATATGCACATATTACATATGTATAGAAGAACTATGCTGCAGTAAGTCTATCTACAAGAATTCTCATAGCACGGCCTCTTATTAAATCACTGACTACTATCACTTCTAATACATAAAGTGGGTTGATTTACGTTTTCAGTCAGATTGTTATCATATACATCTGCCTCTGGGTCAGGTACGCCAAATTGCATTGCTATGTTATGTAGTACACAACAAGCTATAATTATTTTGGCGCATTTTTCTGGTTTGTAATGCAGAGTGCGATCCTTGTTTACACATCTCCACCTATTTTTCAATCTTCCAAAGGTATTTTCTATAATCACTCTCGCTTTCCCGTGAAGTAAGGTATAATTAGCTTCAGGGCTTCCCTTTACAGCATCAGGAATGGGTGTCATTAACCATGGCCTTTGTGGATATCCAGAATCACCTGCACCAATTATGAAAATGTATTATTTATATTATAAAAAGGATGATATTCATTATAAAAAGTATTAAAAATAATTATAAAAATTAAATTGGAAAACTAAAAAGGACATTTAATTAACCTGTAAAAAAGCATTTTTTAAGCTAACATAATAACGCAACTTACCAAGTAGCCATACTTGTTCATTGTTAAGATGTAATTCTTGCATACACTGGTTTACTAGGCTATTATCCCAAATAAAAGCATCATGGGTGGCACCTCCATATTTTGCATTCACATTTAAAATGCGGCATTCACTGTCACAAACCTACAAATAATTTTTTTGTTAGTTTTCAAATAATAACATAAAATATCTATGTACTTAATTTAATACTAAGTTCAAAATTCATCACCATAATCATTATCATTACAGCCTATTAATGTCATAGTAATGGCATACCTACTTGCCCGCAAATGGATTGGCAACCGCAGTTTTTTCATTTACTAATTATTATAAAAGTGTTGCTACCCATCTCCTTCCGTCTGTTGCCTCTTACGACTAGAGAAACGGAAGATATGGGGTAGTGGATATTCCCATATCGCCACTACTCATTAGATTACAAGCTACATGGAGTACCTACAAATTAAACTTACAACTTGTACATTAAGGGAATGAAAATGCTTTCTGCAATAAAATAAGTGTTCAATTTCTTTTTGTGGTGTAAATATGCGGAAATGTGATCCATCTATGCAGCCAATGACACCCGGTATCTTATATGTAGTCAAAAATCTGTGAAAAATAATTACTTTTTTAATTTAATTCGACTAGAGAATTTAACAAAGTTAAAAACACAATATTTTAAGTTTTTAAGTACTTTTTCTTAATGACGTCTCTCTCAGCCCTTGAAGTAGGGAACTTGATAAAATTGTTGCATATTATTTGGCTGTTAAGTGCCTCCGTAACTTGAGAAACACATTTGCTAACACTTATTTGGCCTAAGTGTTTACCCATACCAACTAAACGTTGATAAGAGCCCGTTGCGTAAAATGATAAAGCACAAAGAACCTAAAACATAAATGAAATAAATAATACATTTTAGGTCACAGAATAACTACGACAAGTACATAAACTTTGAGCATTGTTTTATACCTTAAGCTCTAAACTTATTCTTTTACTATCTCTCAAGTTTGTTTTAGAGCGAAGTTCATGACGAAGGTATTTAAATGCATTTTTACTCAATCTATATCTTTTTTTAAACTCCAATTCAGAAATATCCACAGGGTCTTCAGTTCGTCGAAGAAAAACGCGTTGTGTAACACCTGGAATTATTTAAATATATTTAATTTAAACTGCTATAAAAAATATTACTAATACATTAAATAATTAATTTAAGGGAATTATATGTACCTTAATTCTCGTCTTTGCTTTCTTGCCTCGATTGCCAAACGCCACGCGAAATAATAAAAAGCCGTGGATCTCATTCTATTTCTTCTTAATAAAAATATTTTAAACTAAAATCAACGAAAGACTTAGAGAAACTTAAAAGTAAGACTTCACGATAGCGTTCTCACCGTAAAAATGTCGGTGAGAATGATTTCGTAGTTCTCTACAGTGTATAGACGATAACGTACGTCAAAAAAAGATTCGTGCTGCCGATTCCCATACATTTTGTGTCTTACTATACGTTAAACTATACGAAAGCGATACGTAACGTAGCGTTAGATGTTCGTGCTTCTGAATTTTAGTTCCAAATACGCCCACGGAGCGCTGTTCAAATTCCCATACAAAATTTAACTGAAACTAAACTGTGGTGTAAACTATACGATAGATCAAAATGTTCGTGCTAGGGGTACTGTTATCCGGTAACGTCACTATTTACTTATCAATATGTTAGTGGTTGACGACGTGCAAAACGTGAAAAACGAATTTTACCTTATATTTAGTAGCGTCACCTAGAGGGCGTAACACGCTTTTTTATTTATTTTTTGCGCCCAGAAGCAAATAAGGGCTAGCCTCCGGTAAACGCTCCCCCGTTTACCGGAGGTGGTGAATGCTCATGCATATACCACGATTCAGCCACAGTGCCGGCTGTGTGGTTATGTGGAGACTTTTGCCCACTAAGCACCATCTATGAAATTGGCTTTGACCTGGTGAGAGATCTTTATAGCCGTATCGAACGCGACCCCCCTTGGGTGAAAGGGGGGCGGCGGCGACGAGTAGCCACTGAGAAGTGTACTAAACTAAGGCAGATTACGAGATGAGATGTGGAGACTCGGCCTGAGTCGCCAGGAGGCAGTTCAGGTAAGCCGAAAGCTTGTTGGGTGGGTCCGAGAGAGAGTTTCGCGGCCTATAGCACTAGAGCACTATAGCGAGTGGGAAGTGGGGCTGCATAGGTAGCTGCCTCGCGAATGTGGTGATTTGGATGGGACTCTGAGGCTTCGAAGAATTTCTCAGACAGTGATTTTAGGAATTGTCGGGAGCTTAACTTTAGGGGCGATAAACGCCATTTAAAATAAATTTAAATGGCGTTTATCGCCGCTAAATATTAGTATTATTTTAGTTAATTCATTAGGGATAAGTTTAATTACAAAAATAAGAAATAAAATAAAATATTTATTATAACTCTACTAGTTCCACAAATGTTGTAAAGAAAATTCGAGTATAAGCACTAATCTATTATGTATTAAGGACGCATAATTTACAAAATTGATAGGTATAGAATCGCACTACTACATTGACAAAAGTCACATACACAAGTGTACGCACGGTTGGCTGTGGGAATCGTAGTCATATGAAATTATTTTAATAATTTGAAAGATTGAATTTGTTTTTCATTTCTTATACCACAGAAATATACTTAGATACGAAATACGAATACCTGCTCCAGAGACTGCTTGGCACTGGAAGCCCTCTACTGGTAGTGAGATGTTAGCTCTGGACTTTGAACTGAGTTTGTCAGTTATAATAAGACCTTACCTACCTGCGGACTTGATGGAGTGACCTGAAGGTGTAATTCGATGATTACAACAGGAACTCCTAGACTAGTGGAACTAGGTGTGCCGAATTTGGGTTCGTTTTGTAGGTTATGATGAGACCTTACCACCGGACTTGATGGAGTGACCTGAAGGTGTAGTTCGGTGATTACAAGTGGAACTCCTAGACTTGTAGGACTAGGTGTGCCGAGTTTGGGTTCGTTTTGTTAGTTATGATGAGACCTTACCACCAGACTTGATGGAGTGACCTGAAGGGGTAATTTAATAACTACTGCTGGAATTTCTGAACGAGTAGAACTAGGTGTGCCGAATTTGGGCTTCATTTTGTTAGTTATAACGAGTCCATTCCTCCGGACTTGATGGAGTGACCTGAAGGTGTAGATCGGTGATTGCAACTGGAACTCCTAGACTGGTAGAACTAGGTGTGCCGAGCTTGGGTTCGTTTTGTAGGTTATGATGAGACCTTACCTCCGGACTTGATGGAGTGACCTGAAGGTGTAGTTCGGTGATTATAAGTGGAACTCCTAGACTTGTAGGACTAGGTGTGCCGAGTTTGGGTTCGTTTTGTTAGTTATGATGAGACCTTACCACCAGACCTGATGGAGTGACCTGAAGGGGTAATTCAGTAACTACTGCTGGAATTTCTGAACGAGTAGAACTAGGTGTGCCGAATTTGGGCTTCGTTTTGTTAGTTATAACGAGTCCATACCTCCGGACTTGATGGAGTGACCTGAAGGTGTAGTTCGGTGATTACAAGTGGAACTCCTAGACTTGTAGAACTAGGTGTGCCGAGTTTGGGTTCGTTTTGTTAGTTATGATGAGACCTTACCACCAGACTGACAGAAGGTGTAATTCAGTGATCATCAAGTCCGGTGGTAAGGTCTCATCGTAACTGACAAAATGAACC